AAACATTTTTCCTTTGTGATTTCTTGATAATGAGATAGCGCTGTGCAACGGAAGATAAAAAAATAAATTTCCTATGGAAACAAGACATAAACTCTTCACTTACTCTGGTGCATATATATACACAATTGTGAAGCTTCCTGAAATGCATATTCGAGCTCCAAAGAGAAGACCTTTGTTAAACCCTCAGACTGCTGGAACAGCAAAGGAAGCAGAAATGCGCAACAGCAGAAGAACATAGCTCGACATTGAAAGCTTACGACCAAGTTTATCTACTATGCAGCTGATAATAGGAGCCCAGGAAACTCTTGAAGCAAATCAAATCAAAGTTAAACGTTAAAAGCAGCTTTCCAGGAGTGACAAGATAAAATTTCTAGAAAAAAGATTAGTGAAAAAATTAAACAAACCAAACCTGCAAAACTGGTGATGAAAACATCTTTGTAGTCAATATCCTGGGGTTTTTCCGATTGCAGTTTATCTGCACAGTTTGTGTCCAATGTCAACTCGTGGTCAGCAATACAAGCCCATAATATAAATGCATTGCCAAAGAACACCACCCATAAGAGCAAGGTTGATCTGATTAATTTGGAGAAAGAAGCACTAACAGTGCAGAGATGCCACCCATGTTAGACTCTGACTCTGTCCATCAGGAGTTGCGTGTCATTTTCTGTTTCCTTAGCCTTAGGAGTTGAATCTTCTCTTCTTCCATTCCTTGGGAGTTGTATTGTCTTCATCAAGACTTGCTATGATCAAACACCTAGTCTCTAGCTCACGTTCCCATCAGAAACAAGATCACCAGAAGGAAGTGGTGGTGCCATTAATTTTTGCTATTTCTCCAAAATAAGACGTGCTTCAGCTGTTCTACCTTTCAAGCATAAATACCTCGGTGATTCAGGAGTCACCCTGTAGAATAAAAGGAGAAACAAAGAAGGGAGAGAGGAAAGCACAAGCAGCCACTCCAACCCTGTCTTGGCATAACAAGCTGCAAGCAGACATCATAAGGATGAGTGTTCCCTCCAAATATCCTTTTTATAGTGAATTAGCATACTAAACTAGGACAAATATCACGTCATTTGAAATTTCCTTTTTTTTTCTTGGCAAGTAAATGCAAAAAACTAGATCAAAATGCAATAGCAATGTCTTTTCTACTTTAGGGTGCAAGTAGCCAAGTACCAAACACAATGAAGCCACGGTGGATGGCAAGATTTGGACAAATTAACACATATTAGTACTTTTAAACACAGTGCTAACGGCAACGTGTTTAAAACCAATATCCCGCAAATGAGGAAATGATATTGAACAGGGTATAAGTCTCACTACATACCCCAATTGCAGAATTGGAGACAGTATATAAAACAATGACCAAAGACAAAGGTAGAGATGGAAAAATAAAATTAAAACTACAAAGGAATCAATGAATTGCCACCAAAAAAAAATGAAAGATGTCTAGGAAATCACAGGATACCCACGCAAGTGCCGCCTCCAAGACTGTCCCAACATCCAGAAAGCTGAAAATAAAACCATCCAAACACTCTGTTTGGGCAGGAATAAACTCTAGAAACCAAGATGAGAGCACAGGACCGCTCCCAAACCAAGACCAACCAACAACGAAAGATGACAAGAAATAATAATTTGGGGCAAAGCACTCAGAAAACCAGCTGCAGAAGTTACTACGCTGTAACGAGGAATCCTTCCTGAAGGAAAGAATTAAGAGAAAAAAAGAAGAGAGAAGCAGAGTGATCAGATTCAAATAAGGGACATATAGAACCGCACTATAATGCTGCAAGAATAAGCCATATCAAATTTAAAATCACATAAAAAAGTATTAAAGCATCCAAGTTACTAGAGTAAGGTGACATGATGTCCATTTCTTTTCAATACTAAAACTTCCCGATTAACTATGTATTAGAAAAAGGTGAAACTTGAATGAAGTTCTAAGACCATTTATTTTAATATATTAGCATTGGCAGAAAACTTTTCACCAAGGAGATGTTGCCTCCATCCACGTCTGCAAGATCTACATTAAAGAAGCAGAGTGATCAGATTCAAATAAGGTACATATAGAACCGCACTATAGATAATGCTGCAAGAATAAGCCATATCAAATTTAAAATCACATAAAAAAGTAGTAAAAGCATCCATAGTTACTAGAGTAAGGTGACATGATGTCCATTTCTTTTCAATACTAAAACTTTCCAATTCAACTATGTATTAGAAAAAGGTGAAACTTGAAAGAAGTTCAAAGGACCATTTATTTTAATATATTAGCATTGGCAGAAAACTTTTCACCAAGGGATGTTGCCTCAATCCACATCTGCAAGATCTACATTACAAAACTAATTCATTGAGCGAACCAGTAAGAGCAGGGATTAGTCCCATCTAAGGAACTCCTTTAATTCTATTTCAATAAACATTGTGTTGACTATTCCTAAAGGTGTAACTTTAAAGTCTATTTTGTTTCTCACTTTCCCTGTGGTAGGTTTTACATCTCAAAGGTCATATTTTCCAGGCCAAGAAGGTAAGAAGCAGAAAACCATTTCTTATTCAGGAGCAAAAAGGAAAGATGAAATAAACTAGTCATTATATAACCACTATAGATCATCTTCACGCATGGTAAAACAAAGCAGCTTGTCATTAGTTTCATTTCACCTAGACAAATAAATATGTATTCCCTTGAAATAAGAGTGACAGAGAATCAATATTGAAAAATTCCACAAAACACTGAAGGCAGATTTAGAAAAGCAGACACAAATGATGATTCAAAAAAGCGAAGACTGCAAACAATTAATGAGAAAATGATGAAGGGCACACCTTCTTCCATAATTGTCTGACATAATGCCCCATGAGTAGGTCCCAACTAGCATTCCCACAAAAACAGCAGTTGTTATGAGACTCTCTTGCTTAGAGGAAAGACCCCATAAAGATTGAACTGCTGGTCCTACAAAAGATAGGAGCATCATTTCCATCGCTTCCGAAATCAATCCCATGCCAGCATAAGCAAGCACACAAGCTTGAAATTTCCCAAATCCCATTTTCACAAGAGCTTCATCCACAGTATATGTAGAGTTTTCTTCTTGATTTTCAATTCCCATCTAAAAATCAAAGAGACAGAATAACTTAAATTTTATAAATCCATATTGCTTGTAACAAATTGTTTTGAAGTATTGCAGTAACATTGTGGATGATTTTGGAGAGTTTCTACATGATTTTCCCGAAGAACTTCTGATTAATACTTCACCACATATTATCAGTTGCTTTGCATCTACATTTACAATGAAGATACAAGACTGAAGACACCGGTCTAACACTTGAGTCCCGATACATAGTTCAAACAATCTAAACTTCATTTAAGCTAGAGTTGGCAATAAACTATCCTAATGATTTGATAAATCTCTTTTGAGCCTCAAAGAACTTTAGGAGCTTGAACAAAATGTTTAATTTCAAGTAAAGAATGGTGAAACGTTCAATGATATTTATCCTGATGTTGTTAAATATGTAGAGAGTTCCATTCCTAGTGTGAAATATCTTCTTCACTAACATGAAATTCAAATGCTATTTGGATTGATTTACTTCTTCACTCGCACATGCTTTCTCATTACAAATCATGTAACCAGATCACGATGTAAGCACAGTAACATATACATATACTATTACATATAAATACATGTTAAGAAATACAAATGTCCCTGAAATTAGCAAATATATGAATATTGCGACTGCAATATTCAAAGTGTGAATGTTGGGAGTGTAATATTCAAAAGATAAGTAAATAATATGTGGGTTTAATCAAGAAACCAGGATTGAAAATGAAAATAGCGCAAAGAATCAAGATTGATCTCACCAAACACAGAGGGGCACAAACGAATACAAGCATTAACGTAAAAGAAACAAGAAAGAGAAAGTGCGTATGAATGAAAATGAAGGACGAACCTTTGGTAGAAAAGTTAAAAGAAAAAGAGAAAATGGAGATCTCGTTCTTCTTGTGTACTTCGTCCGTCCTCGTTCTCAACTCTTAACATTGTATTTAGACACGACAAAAAGTCAACCTAAATGGTTGACGTTGATTGGTTCTAAACTGCTAGTTGGCGTTGTTAGAATATTGTTAGATGATTATATATATGTTTGTATTGAACTTTGAGTAAACGACTTTTTCTCAACCAAGGTTTGTCTTAATGACACTTTTCCATCCAAAAAGTTTCAAATTATCATTTTTTCATCCAAAAATTAATATTTTATTACTACCCAAAACCAATTCCGATAATAAAAATTATCTCCATCATCACCATTTGAACCTACGGTCTCTTCTTTATAAAACCTCTCTCACTCCGGTACCTAATGTCTAATTGATTATCGGTTATCACAAAGTTAGGGTTTTTGATTCTTAGCTAATTTCCGACTAATTCTGACAACGAATATTCAATTAATCACCACCATTCGATCCACCAGCCTCCATTCTACAAAATCTCTCTTACCTGGGCTCTTGGTAATTGCCAAACATCGGCTGAGAAGATGAAGTGTATTTTAAGTATTAACAGAATATAAATTGGGTGGAAAAGTGGCATTTTAAAACTTTTTAAGTGAAAAAGTGTCATTAAGGCAAACCTTGGGTGGAAAAAGGTCATTTACTCTTGAAATTTATATAAAATAATTTAAACAAACACTTTTGTTTCCTATCCAATTCTTCCAAATCAAAATGCATATTTGTTTTCCTATTCTCAAAATATTATCATAAATTATTCAACTATTTTTAATTTTCAAATCCTATCTTATAATAATCATCCAACTCTACCTAACAATAATATTTAAAAAATACTATTCCAAATAACTAAACAAAGGCACCCAAAGATATCTATCCTAACCCATTTATACATAGCATATTATGTATCAAAATGATGTCATGTAAGAAATATTAAGCTTAGGCTTCTACATTCTGGCAATAACTTTAGGAGTTTTTAAATAGTAATATATGTTATTTCAATTGGTTGGAACTTGGAATGTATACTTGAGTGAAAAACTCTTCTTGTTGGTCTGGTACAAGAATATCGTTTATATGATAGCATTCAAACTGCCTCAGCATTTGGCAATGCAAGTGAATTTACACGCAGCTGAAAAGAACTTCATTACATTTCCTAAACATGGTTTGTCATCAAGATAACAGAAAAATATATACAGACTTCAGACCTAATAAACACCACCTTCCAAAAAGCATTTACATTGAAGGATTATACACCTCATATTAGATGCCACTATCCGATCAACTAGTATCAAGTACTATTGCTATTTGCTATGTCTAAGCTGGGCTCTTCCTTTGCTTGGCACAGTGAAGCTCCTTCCACATTAGTCACCCCTTCAGATTTAGTGTAGTTCAACTCCATCCATCCACAGTCACCATTTTCCGATACGGTTTCTGATGATTCATCTACAATCCAATCATCCATTGGATCAATCTCATCAGCCACTATGTCACCTTTCCGGACTAACTTGGAGTTCTTCAATTGCAAGTTATAGTGAACAAATGTCAGATCACTCAATCGTTGTTGTTCAATACAATTCCTTCCCTTTTTCATCAGCTTCTCAGACAAACTTCTCTTCAAACTATATTTTGAAGCACCATCACATGTCTGACTCAAAATTCTAGTGGCAAATTTCCGCAACTCAGGATATTGCTCTCCAAAATGAGACCACCACTCGGCTGCAATGGGACATGCAGGGGAACATAAGTAAGGATACAGGAATTTAACCAGTTCAAAATATTGAAAGATGAATACAATCATCAAGAATATCCAAATAAAAATTTTTACCTGGAGAATATTTGTTTATTTGGTCAATGGCACTCCCCAGACTAAAAGCACCCTTAGCATGTCTATACTCATCCAGCTGAAGAGATATCAAATCTTGAGTCCGCTGATCTTGCACCATCCTAACAATACAGCATAGCAGACCGAACGAAACCTCGGGATCAATAAAGAAATCACTTGAATAAAAGAAACTTGGGTTTAAGTAATAACCAGCCGCATGTAGAGGGCTATGGAGATGTTTGTCCCAAATCTCATCAATAATTTTCCAAACAGGCATATATTCAGATTTCTTGTTATTAAATTCCTCTTTGATCGTCTCCTTTGCTTGATCCATGGTTTCATACATATACCCTACTTGTGGTTTATCAGCCCCAATGATCAAACACAGAACACGCACAAGTGGTATAGTTGCCTTAAGAACCATCCTGGCTCCACTCCAGAAAGAATGATCCTTCACTAAATTAGCAACCCTTGTTCCCTCTGTAGTAGTAGCCCAGTTTGAGGTGTTCCACTCAGATGAGACAAACATGGCCATCACATTTTTCTTTTTCAAGACAATATTCTCTAGAGTCATATAAGGCATTGCTGATCTCACAATGGAGGGCTTAATAAGGTTGCAGTCACCAGTAAAATCTCTGAAGATTTTTAATACTGATGCATGGCCATGAATGAACCTTGTAATGGTTTTTGTCTTATCTAATATCCTCTGAACAGAATCCATCATACCAATCTTCTCAAGCATCAGCTCAATGCAATGGGATGCACTCACAGTCCAAAACACTGACCTTCGCCTTTCCATAAACTGCTTGCCTATGTCCCCCATCCAGCCTGATGTAGAACATGCAATTATTTGAAATACATTATTAACTCCAACCTCTTCAATAACTCCATCTAGAAGCAACTGCAGAGCATCAACATCACCAATAATGGCCGAAACATCAGCTGATCTGAGATAAATTGGTCCCTGAGGACAGTCCACAATGAAACTGACCAAGTTTCGACCATTTTCATCAATCCATCCATCCAACAAGATGCTACATCCAGTGCTTGCCCATGATTGTCTTATCCTCTTCACATACTCTTCCATTTCCTTCACTTCTTCATGAAGAATCCACCCCTTCAGATCCTGACAACTGGGGATCTCACATTTTGGCTGACCATGACAAAAAGGAGCATTTATCATGTCCCGAAAGCTTGAAGAATTGACAACACTGAAATCAATTCCCATCTCATAGAAAAATCTACCAATACATTTTTGAGTTTCCCATGATATTGAATCCTTTTTCTTCTCAGCATTGATGCCTGTTTGTAAAGCTATCCTTTTGCTGAGAATTGAAACACTTTGTGTCTCACTTTCTTCTAATTCAGATTCCGTCTCTGTATAGCTTCGACTCTCAGAGCCAGTGGCTTCACGTTTGAAACGCTTGACACCATTGCATCCGGAGGATCTATCCTGTTTCCGTGTAGAGTCCAAGTTTTTAGTTTCTCTGATTTGCTCATTCAGACTTGCTTTTTTTATGTCTAGCAATTCTTTTCTAAATGTTTCCTTGACATTTTCAGGAGCCTTTTCACAAGGTATCACGTCTCCACGAATACCTCCCAAATGGTACTTGAGACGACATGAGCCACTCACTTCCTTACCACAATAATTGCATTGTACTCGACGCTTTTTCCTATCCACTAATGTTCCATGGTCATAAATATTGAAGTAGAAGACATCATCAGTAGCCATTTTTATGGACTTGAAATGAACAAGAGATCCTACGATAAAGTCAAGAACCTAAACATGCCCAATGAGTAAGTCAAGTTCTTTCACCAAGCTTTGGCAGCAAAATGCAAATCCTCTGCACAAAGTATCAGAAACAGAAAAAATAAAAAAATAAATTACAAAATCAAGTTTTTAAACCATACTTATACATCTTCAAGCATACGGATTACAGAAAAGAAAGTGATATTATCATTTCGTCTCCACATGAACTTAAATACATAAAGACAAGAAAACAAGCAACAGTGTGTAAATAAATGCAGCAACTCGAGCTAAGTCCATTATTCAAGTAGCCTAGCAATCATCATAAAATGTATTAATTAAATCAAAAGAGAACAGAGAAGCAAAGGATTTGCATTGCAGGGAGAACCCAAGTCAAACATCAAAAAGGAAAGTTTTTTTTTTCTTTTTTAAAGAACAGGTAAATGTCATACAGAAAGCCAACCAGGACTTTTGCAAGAACAAAGATGAATACTTAAATGGGTACGTTTAGGCTAATGGTCTCAATCAAAAGGAAGAAAATGAAATTAACAAAACAAGGAGATTGTGGAGAGATGAAATGGAATACCTTTTTGGTGCTGGAGACTCCGAAACAGAACATCAAAAAGTGAAGAACTTTGGCTGTCTTTACATCAAAACCCTTCCATCACTATCGTCTAACTCGTGAGTGAGTGAATGAGCGAGTTACAGACCGACAGACTCAGAGCCAGTCATCCTGTATATACGTGCAACTCTCTTACCGAACCAGCTTACTTTTCTAGCACGCTCCTTTTTGTCTTCTCTTAATAATAAAATATTATTATTTTAATCCTTAATTATATTTTAATTACTTTTACCCATACAAATATGCGTTACATAAACTTGTTACAAACAAACTCCCCAGAAAAAAAAAAAAAAAATAGAGAGTTTCCTTTTTATCTTTTACTTTCAGAATAAATTTCATTCTACAGACTCCACTTAGTGAATTTTCTTTTTAACTTTATATGTCTGTGTTATCCAGAAGAGCTTTCTTGTTTTCATCCTTTGCTTCAGCACTGAACCAGAAGCAAATTCTCATTCATTCAGATCTCTAAAATGTCAAGAGATAGTAAAAAATCAACATAATCTAAATTCAATCACTAATCTACACGAAACTCACTATATCTACAAGTACAATGTAATGCTGAAGATGATACAAATAATAAACTATGAAAAATCTTAAAGGGCCCTGAAGCTGTCATTGCATAGGATTTTCAACCATTGCATCATCTGAAGCTGATTCTGGCTTGTCGTCGTCAAGACGAATCTTTTTCGCATCTGGCTTCGATTCACTATTGTCAGTAGCTTTATGTTTTGATGGTAGAGCTGATGACAAGTCCGTTTTGGACTCGTCTGGTTGGTTAGGCAAGCCACTAACTGATGGAGAAGAAAGCTGCACCTCAGAATCTTTGCTCGGATCGGTCATTGATGACAAGCTTTGAGAAGGAATCAGGGCAATGCCAGCTTTCTGCTGTTCCTCCAAGATCTTCTGCAAGTACCTTGCATGCTCCTCTATGCGCAACTGAAGGGCCCTTTGTACCTGCGCAAAGGTTTTGCAAATAGCAGAACAATTACAACCAATATGAAACTGTAAGTTCCAGCCAATAACTTTCAAGAATTCAGGAGAAATATATTTAAATTAAGCATTAAACATACCTCAAGCTGTTCATGCAGCTGTTTCTGAACTTCTATTTGCATGCGCAAGGCCTCAGTGATTTGTACGCTCCTATGACAAGAAAGAGTAAAAGTTATAATTAAATAACATTGTGTCATGTAACAAAACAAGGAAACATTTTCTGGTACAGATTGTGAATTTAAAATGATATTGACCCTTTCTTCCGTCCATCACATTCATTGCTGCTTGAAGTTGCTCTATTTTCTTCAGAATTACAAGTCTTCTTTTCTGCAGATCAAAAGGACAAGCCAAATGTAAGCTACTTGCAAATGGCAATTAACATAAACTTCAAGAGTGTCATCATCAGTCTAATTGGAACTAAGACTAACATCATAAAAGTTAAGCCAGGAGAAATGAATTATCAAATAATCATGCAAACACTGAAACATACTTCCCTTTATCAACAGTGGCATCACAGCACGAGGCAGAAAATTAAACTAACACGCAACAACAGGACAAGCTGAAGATTTGTGTTCAAAGGACATTTCTGACATACTTATGAAAGCTAACCCTCATTTAACGGTTATAATCAAGATCAAACCAAAATAGATTGAAGCAATTATATAAGTAGTAATCAACCTCATCCAACTATATAAATCAGTTTTATGAAATTATTCTACATAAACAGCCGTCTAGAGACAGTTGGATGCACATATTTTGTATAATATTGGTGAATAGTCTCAAGGAGTTGACATATTTTCCAAAAAATCACCATACTACAAATACATACAAAGACGCACGGACAGTGGCCAAGAGACAGATAGAGCAAATCTTAGCAACCAAAAACTAAGTCATGTCACCATCATAAAACATATCTATCAATATTTAGCCCCTTTAAATAAGCATCTTTGACCACTTGATGCAGAATCTCTAATGCATCGACTTGTTTATTTTCACCATTTAAATTTTTTTTCTCAAACGAAGGTTTTGTCCCCTCAATTTGCAATCAGCCAGTTGTTTATTTACTTATCTCACTGCTAGGAGAACTCATATCCCTACAAAATCTGCCAAACCTCTCAACTCATTCTCCTAGGATTGATCCCAATAGCTCTTGCAAACATCATTATGACATTATGATCTATTTTGCATGCATCTGAAACTTGTACAACTTTAAAAAACCAGCTAAGAGCTGGGAAGAAAAGTTTGGCTAGCCAATGAGCATCCCATAAAATGCATGTGACTGTTATGAGGATGTGAACATGAAGGAATGAACCATCAAGAATAAAGAATTTGATGATTCAGCAATTATCAATAAGAATATGGACATGTCTGATAAAACATTAGCGTCAACTACATAAATAAAGTAAAAAAATTTAAAAGGGAAGCACATTGGCAAGATGATCTGGAAACCAACTACAAACTCTTAACTTTAACCAGATAAGTTCTCAAAATAGAACAACTTGGATGTAAACATTCACTAGCGTAATGGTTCAAAAAATAAGCTTATGATAATGGAATATGCTTATAAGCCTATTTCATGATGCATCCATTACCTTCCTTTTTCTCTGGCACATACTTAGCAAGTCGGTATTTCTGCAAAAGATGTATAAATGAAGACGTAAGCTTAGATAGAGTAACAGCTAATTTAACAAGTACACTTAAATTCACTAATAACTTCATTGATTACCTGTAAGTGGCTTTTCACATGATAGATGGTCAAACCTTCTACATTCATGAGCTTCAATACACCTTTGGGAGTAGCCTCTGCATTTTAAGTAAATCAATGAGCCTCTTTCAATTATTAAACATTGTCAAAGCATAATTTATGTACTGCAATGGGCTCTTCCTGTCAACAGATAAAGTTATTAGCCCAATTTGTTTAATAGAATGGACAACATACTTTCAGCTCCATCAAATTTGTTGACAGCCGCCACAAAAGACTCATGAAGCTCGGGAGTCCATCTCATTCTTGGCTTGTGTGCAGTGGCTGGCCCAGGAGAGGGGTGATTTGTAAGAGCATCAACAGGTGGTGCTGAAGAGACATAGCTCTGATTACATGCCACTCCAATGGAAGGTTTTGATGAAGATTGAGGTGTTTCATATATTTCCTGGATGAACATCAGCACGAAAGAAACACACTAGTCAGTAGAGGTCATGCAGCAATGCCCATGTAACAATGTAACACAAAGGCAAACCAGCAGTGCCCATGAGAGGGGTCGCAATGTACATACATCAAGCCTGGGAGTTTCTCCATGTTCAGTTATAGCTATGTCAAGTTCATCAGACAAAAACTGCAGCTCCAAATGATCATTAACTGCCAAACTGTCATCTCTACAAGTGACTCCATGAAAGCTACCATCTGAAATGTCTCCAGGAAAATTGAAGAAGTCTTTCATAAGAGATTCTGAATGCTCCTCTTCATATGGGTTCCCTATATCCTCACTGAAAAGCAATGGAGATTTTGTTGAGTCAACTGCAGAAACAGACTGGTTGTATGAGGAAGGATGTGGAAGAAATGGTAAATTCCCAAGTTGACGATGGGTTTCAGAGCTTGATGAAGATGATAGGTATAAATTGGTACAAAAAACGGAAGACCGTGAAAATGAGCCCTTTGAATGTTGAAGATGAGAACAAGGAGTCCCAGGGCTACTCGGTCCAGGTGAAAAACAATACTTGGGGGACTGGGATGTAGGTGCTCGACTATGATTAGTAGAACTGAGAGATTCTTTTCGTATAAAAGGTGATGGATGTGGAGAGGGACACTGACCAGTAGATAGACTTTGCCCTTCTGATTCAACACTCAAAAAATTATGAACTGGGGGTAGAGCAGTGCAACAGGGCTGTTTGACTCCTTTGTTAGACTCAGTTTGAGTTGCAGAAATGAAACTATGATGGTTCATGGTGTTTGATGACAGCTAAACTTGACGAATGCAAAAATTCAGAATCTTGCAGAACTTCAAAATGAGAAAAAAAGGGTGAAATTGAGATATGGGATCAGAGTTTAAGGCTTCAGTGAGTTGAGTGAACAGAAGTTTAATTATTCAAGTTCAAAACCAAGAGACATTCTTAAGAGTTCAAAACAAAACGATGTGTGAAACACTATCTCAATCTTCATGCCAGAAACCTTTTCTTTCTTTGTTTCAGGGATCAGCAACAAGCTTTCACATCTCAATAACAAAGCTCTGTTTCAACACTCCTTTCTTCAGAATACGTGAGTCTTTCCACGACATTCACCCATTTCAGAACAGAGACACTCAATCAGTCATCTGTTAAACTCAATACAGGAGAAAACCCACAGAGTAGAAGGGCAAAAGAAACTACATCATGGTATACAGAAAATCATCTTCTCAGGTACATACCTGTAATAATACCATCTAGTACGTGATCAGCATTGTAGCATCAGGAAAAACAAATCAAATAAACATAATATCAACTTAACCCTTAATAGACAATACAAGAGAGAAATCAAGTTTTCCGGAGAAGCAAAACCCGTTTAGCAGCTCGACTAGTTATCTTAAAGGTGATCTATTTGATAATGGAACAAAAAATAGACTGCAAGCAAACTGACAAAAGCATTTGATTATAAATTGCCTAAGCTACCAAAACTGCTGTTAGTTCCCTCATTGGCTTAAACCTAACAGCGCCCTTCTCAGCAGCCAGATATAAGCACTCCCAAACATCTAAAAGCCTCAGTTGGCCACTTTAGAACTATTACACACCTTAAACTACAATTAAAATATAAACAAAGGAGCTGTTCTTGAAAGAATAAATCGCTCCACATTAGCTGATTTCAACCAAAAAAAAAAAAAAAAAATACTTGGCATATTCATAAGGAAATGAGACATGACAACAAAAAATTAGTTGCGCTTCTACGTCACGGGGTCAGAATCTTCAGCATCATCACTCATCAGGCATCAAAACACAAAATCAACCTTTTTTTTTTTTTTTTTCAGTTTCAAATTCATTCTTCAAATCAAAAACGCCAAATACAATATAAACGGCAGTTGAGTAAACACAAATGCAGAATCATATCTCATCTCCCCTGGAACACACAAAACAATTCTCTCCATTTATAGAATTCCAGCATCTCATAGACCTCTTCACATGGACATATACAATACACACAACAATGGATCCCATACAAGCTCCCCAAGTCTTAGCACATCACACAACATGCAACAAATTCACATTACTTGAAAATATAAAGTAACAAGTTTGAGTCAGCATATCCAACTTAACACAAAGTTTGCGGATTCCTGAACCATTTAAAATCTATCTCAATCACACATAACCGGAGTTCTTTTTAAAAAAAAATAAATAAATAAGTCTAACAAAGCAGTAAAATTAAGCAGCACATGGAAACAAAACTCAGAGGAAGAAGAAGAAGAAGAAGAACCTGAGAGGAGATTGAGAGTAAATGGCGCAGTGTTAGAGAAAGATAAGATGAGATATTAGGAACAATGAAATTGCTATAGCTTTGAAAAAACCGTAAAGGTTTCAGAATCTGAAGGCCAAAATTACAAGTTTTTGGCTATGGCCATTTCGGCAAATAAAGCACAGCTAGCTTTGGAGATTTTGGCTGCTGCTTTTGTATTAGAGAACAAAGAATGAAAGAAAGATGACGTTAGATTGATTGATGATTGTTACATGTTTTTTATCACACGCGTCTTCCAACTGGGGTGTAGTTCACGTACCAATTAAATTTAGATCCCGCCAATCATTCTAATTTTAGATTTTTAGTTTCTAAATTTGGCTTTAATTTCCTCCTACAGACGTGTTTTACTGCTTCACAAACTCCTTTGTTATTATCTATTTAATCCCATCGATCAAAATTTGATTTTCATCCTTATTGTTTTGGTCCATTATTAAAGACCCTTATTTTTGTCTATTGACTTGCTAGAATCATAAGAAAACGATGAACAAGAGCAAAACAACTACGTCCACATAGGGCTGGTTAACGAACCGAGCCGGCTCGATTCGTCTAATTACGAGCCGGCTCGACTCGGCTCGTGAGACAAAACGAGTTGAGTTCGAGCCATACAAGGCTTGCGAGCCGCGCTTGGCTCGAAAAAATGGGGGGTTTTTTGAGAATTTCTAAACCATTGGGATTTAATTGAAAATAATGCAAACAAAGTTTTAAAAAATAACAAAATGGCCCCTTTATTAAAATCCCCAAATCGCGAAAAATCCGTCAGCAGTGAACCTTGGCCGTAAAATTTGAATTAAACTCCTCCCAAAGTGTTGATTTTCGGCGAGATCTTGTTCATATTCGTCAGCTTCGCAGGATCTTCGCCGGATATTGTTCATCTTTGTCGAACCTTCGGCAGCCGTTGGATCTTCGTCATCATTGTCATCTTCGTCGGATTTTCGTCAAATCTAAAGTGGATATCGTCGATTCGTCATCATCTTCGTCAGATTTGAAGTGGACGTCGTCGATTCGTCATCATCATCGTCAGATCTGAAGTGGATATCGTCGGTTCATCATCATCTTCGTCGGACTTTAATCGGTCAGTAGGGGACTTTAATCGGTTGATTGGGATTTAATTGTTTGTTTGGGGTTTGGGGTTTCTTCAATTTTATTTGGAGATGGTTGCTGCCTAGACAAAGTTAAATTATGATTTGCATTTATTTGAATTTCAGACATTGGAGAACAAAGAAACGCAAGCCAACAAAATTTGAAGAGCCCTCTGCCTTTGAAGAATGAAGAAAATAATATTAAAAAAGTTATTTTTATTTTTTATTGATAAAAGAATAAATAATTTAAACAAAAGAAAATGGAGGTGGGCAGTCAGACGACTCAGACTCTGCCCAACGAATTTTTGTAAAAAAATTGAAAAAAAAAAAAATTATTTGGAGATGGCTCGCGAGCCGGCTCGAACTCGGCTTGATGAAATATGCCTAATCCATTACCGAGCTGAGCCATATAATTTCTGGCTCAGCTCGATCTCGGCTCGTTTACTCTTCCCCTCTCAGGAGCCGAGCTCGTTAATACGAAAACTCGGCTCGATAACACATATGTTGAGTCCAAAGGACCAAAATGCTTGTATCTCAAATAAATGTCCTTAATTGTGGTAATCTAAAACTATAGGGACAAAAGAATATTATTTGCATTATTTTTAAAAAGTCAATTGAGCAAATTTATTGGTTTTGTGGTAATTTTATTTTCAAATATATAGTAAACAAGAGAGGGGGTGTGTGTTTTACACACCAATAATAAGCCGGCGGAAGCTTATGTTAATTTTAATGTAATGACAAAAGGTGATACATTAATAATTAAAAGAATATTTAGATTTAAAAGATAAGGAGGGGAGGTGGGGTTGGGGTGGGGCTCTTGGCAATGAATCTAAAAATTCAATAATTTTTTTTAGGCAAATTGTAATTTAACTTCTACCGTTTTCATCACCTGAAAACGTACTTATTATTATTTAGATTAGACCCCACCTTTTTTTAAAATAAATAATAATATATATTTCCATTATCAACCGTTTATGTCTCTTGGGTGGATCTCCCTGGTACTGCCCACTAATTTGTCATCTAGGTACTGTTTATGTTTATTTTTAAAAAACAAGGTTAGGATCTTTGTAAGAGATTCAATCCCAATGAATTCTTAGAAAGCTTAAAATATACATATCTATTAAATTATGTAATCATGCAAACCCAAATCTACTCTTCCTTGTGACTATTGAGGGGAGATAGTATATTCAAGAGTCTTGTGTTTCGAGTCATGAGCAATTATCTTAATTTGATCAATGGGTTTTAGCTTATAAGGTGTTCTGTGGTTCTGTTGTCATAAATTATGTCCAAATACCTCAATTATTTTATTTTTTTTAAAACCAAACCTTAATTTTGTCTAAATTTTCTTAATGTTAAAGGACTAGAAAAATGCTAAAGAAACATAATAATTTGCAAAAGTGGGAGAAGGCTGGGTTTGAAAGAAAATGAGTTGTATTGTGGCAACTTGTGTTTTGTGTAGTATCTATCAAAGAAAAGCTATAAAAATTGATGGGTTTGGAAGAGAGGGAGCCCGAGTCGACCCCAGGGGCCAATCAACCTTGACCAAGCATTATATATTTTTCATATTGTTAAAGTAAGTTGTACATTATTAGAAAGAACTCCAGCTTTTTTTTTTTTTAATTGTGGGGTATCTTACTCACCACCCACTGCCACTCATTTTCAATTTCATCCCTACTCTCATAATTAAGATACGGAGATTTAATTCTCGATCCAACGTCGGTTAATTAGTTTATTAAATGAACTGTTTACTTATTAGGAATCATTAAACACTAACTTTTTGTTTCTTTTTAGCAAAATGTCAGACTAACTTATGTACATATCGACAATCTTTGTATGTGACTAACACAACATCTTATCGTCATAATCACCAACTTAAATCATGAAAGTCAACAGGATTCGAATATAAAACGCTCTCATACGCATTGACTATAGACTTAAACACAAGAATTAGTGCATAAAAGATAAAGAGAATGAAGTTTGGAGAGGGAAAATCGTTTGGGCTGATGGAGGATGTGAATGGACAACTCTTCTAGATATTTTTTGTGGTGTCAAGTGGATGCTTTCATAATATACTAATATGCAACCGTCATTGATCACTGATTAGTGGTGGGGTCTTATTATTATTATTTATTATATGAAGATAAATAAGTAATTTATTACCATTCTTCTCTCTATTACAACTTTTCCTTTTAACCAAGATGTCCATGATAATTTATGCGTACCTCGATTAATCATCATTATAATAACGCATATTATAATCCTCCACTTAAATCGAAAATATTTATATAAGGAATCGAATCTGAGACCGTGCATTTACATACTACAACTCTTATAATAACCATAAACAATTAACTATCAATATAATAACTTCGTAGAGAAATATTGTTGCACATAAATAAAATACTACTATTTAATTATAACCAAATCATTTTGGTTGAGAAAGTGTAAGGAATCAGTATCATAATATAATCACATTAATGTATTGTTTAAATTAATTTTTCCGGCCCATTAAATTAATCATGGTCTCTACTCTCTACTTGCATACATGATGGTTGAGTGTTGAATGATAAACCCCATGGGCTTAAATAGAGATAACCTCAAGTAGCTTGCCCAAACAACTTTTAGGCTGAGCCCATAGTAATCTTTTCCCCTTTGAAAAACACTTTTTCTTTTTTTTTAACTCCTCTTCTAAGCACAAATCAAATTAAACAAGTCTCTCCTTGAGGCTGGTATCCTTACACCTCTTCTATAATTAAAAAAGAAAATTGAGTTTTTATTCTCTAAATTACAAGAGATATAATATCCAATTGAAATTATTAAGCCGTATGTAAGTGACGAACATAATATATAACTTTTGATGACAAGATTAGAGGTTGCGACGACGATGATTTGAAATGAGTAATTAAGAATAACAACTAAGAGTTTTATTACCTTGCTAAATACACCACCTTCTCACTTTGGAAAAAAAGAAAAAAAAAATGACATTTATACATACATTCATTATATATATAATTATCCAACGATACATAATCTTAACACGCGTGTAATACAATCCTCATAATTAATTGATAGTACATGCAATAATGATAGCGCGCGTGTAATGTACTATTCATATTAGTTGGTTTTACGTACATCGGATGCACATAATACTTTCTCACTTAAGTTTACATGAAAGACAATTGTCAAAGGAGAAGAAGGAACTTGACTTCATTACCCATTAGAAGCTGCCAATCATCCACCATAGACACCTCAGTATTAGTTGTTGAGAATTGAGATTGAACTGTCTTCATTCTTTTAATTTCCTCTCTTCTTCATACTAATGATCAATGGAGAACATCAGCACACAGAGAGCATAGATTTTTGCTAGAATTAATTCCTACATTTCCTTTCTTTGATCTTGTTTCATTCCTTGAGGTATGTATAAATACATATTTTCTATTTAATTTTCTTTGATTAGTTACTTCTCTATCGCTTATTTTCTCTGTCAAATGGTATATTGAAAGGCATATTGTGAAAATATTATTATATAATTAGACAAAAATGAATCACATGGAAAATTGTTGGGTGTTATTAATAGTTTACTTGTTTTGATGGATTTGCATGCATGAAGTTGATATTAATGACTGGTAGTGGTGGTGACTGTGGCACGGAGATCAATATTCAAGAGCATGGAATTGCTCTTGATGAGAAAAAAAGAAAGGTGAAATGCAACTATTGCGGCAAAGTGGTGAGTGGGTTCTATCGTCTCAAGTGTCACTTGGGTAGTTTACGTGGTGATGTTTTGCCTTGTGAGGAAGTCCCCCCAAGCGTCAAGGAACCTTTGAGAGCCAAATTACTTGAAACCAAAAGGAAAAATCTTGTCAAACAAGTTGATCAAATTTTACACCCACAACTTCCTTTAAAGAGGAATTGGACTTGCCCCAAGACAGATGATCCTGAAGAGTTAGTTGATCAGGAAGAGCAAAATTCACATCCTAGGAGAGAATCAAAACCTAAAAGCAAAACAGCCCAAGTTAACAAAAAGAACGCTCAAGTTGTGGCTCCATTACGGAAGCCAAAGGAACCCCAAAGGTACTGCAATGTCAATACTTCAAATGCTAAACTTAGAGAGGAAGTGAGACGGATGGGGAAGTATGTGAAGAGGGTTAGAGATTGTTGGGAAAAAACTGGATGTAGTCTCTTGCTGGATGAATGGGTTGATGAGAAGGGAAGAGACTTGGTTAATTTTTTAGTAGATTGCCCGGAAGGCATCATTTATATTCGCTCATCTGACCTTTCAGCATTTATTGGTGAAATTGATGCCTTGCGGGTGTTGTTAGAGGAGGTTATTGAGGAGATTGGTGTCCAAAATGTGGTACAAATCATCACATCCTCTACAACAACCCGGATGTGGCCTGCAATTAGGCATATTGTGGGACGTCATACAAACGTGTATTGGGCGTTGGAGTCCTCTCACTACATTGGTGTTATTTTAGAGAAGATAGGAATGATGAATCCCTTTAGAGAAATACTAAGCATGGCCAAGACACTAACCAAGTTCATTTATGGCGATGAAAATCTTCTCAAACTATTTAGATTTCACTCTCATGGACATGACTTGATCAAGCCTCACAGGATTAGGTCAGTAATGGCTTTCCTGAATTTGGGAAATATTGTATCCCAAAAGCAGAATTTGCATGAAATGGTCGCCTCCTTAAAGTGGAGAAACTCCACCTGGGCTTCTACAACTCAAGGCAAGAGCATTGTGAACTTGCTAGACAACCTCTCTTTCTGGAAAGGAGCCAAAGTACTTTTAGCAGCAACTACCCCTATTCTACGTGCGGTTTGTCCCATCAATGGTAAATCACTTCTAATGGCTGGCTACTTATACGAAAGTTTTAGGCGAATGAAGGAAGAAATAAAAGTTCAACTTGGAAATAAGGCTTCGCGTTACATGCCATTCTGGACTATAATTGATGAGATATGGGATATATATCTCCACAGACCTTTACACAGTGCAGGATATTATTTAAACCCGGGTATCTTTTACACCAAAAATTTCTACAGTGATTGCGAGGTTGAACATGGTCTTGAACGTTGTATCACAAGCATGGTGGAAGATCCTAACGATCAAGCTTTAATATCTAAACAGCTGCAGGAATACGAGCAAGCCGGAGGTGGTTTTAAAGATGGAAGTGGCATTGAAGCAATAAAAGATATCTCTCCAGGTACGTAATTAAGAGATGATTACTTGGATTTTTATGGTTTTTGAATTTGAGTTATTCATTATTTAAGTATATGTACATGCAGCTGAATGGTGGGTTCAATATGGAGAAGAATGTCCAGAGTTACAGAAATTCGCCATTCGGGTACTGAGCCAAACTTGTGATGGAGCTTTAAGATACGGTCTGACGAGGAGCTTGGGAGAGAAACTGCTGACAAGAAGAAGAGATTCGAATGAGCAACAACGATTGAAGGACATAACTTTTGTTAACTACAATCTGGAACTTCAAAACTCAAAATTGATGGGTGGATATACTACTACTGATAATAATGTAGCTGAAGAAGAGATCATAGATTATTTAAGATAGATAGATATATCCAGTAGTTATCCCGTGAGCTTGGATTATTTGTTTTGAATTAATTTGCAGTAGCAGTTGATGATGAAGGATGGTAGGAGTAGGACCTTGTGTTCATTAATTCAGCTGGAACTTGGTTGTCTCATCAAATTATGTACAACTTTTGTCATTCCATTTTTATGAAATTAAGACTGCATTTGTGGATGGAGTTAATGTAGGTAGAGCTGGGCAACTGTTCAATCTTTAATTAGGAAAATTATTTTCCTTACAAAAAATCTAGAATATCACATCTACTATATCGTATTTGAATTAATTAATTCATAAACTCTTTAAATTTTTTCTCTCTCATTTATTTATAAAGGTTAAACTAATAATTAGTATGCTATATATATAACTAATGCATATTAAGGATATTGAAAATGCAAATTAAAAGTAATAACCATTTGCAAAATGTATTTGTATTTACTGGTAAAGGATAGTATACCAACTATATATACCTGAATTAATAAATATATATTATATAGATATTTATTCATGAAGAACTAATTTCATCTGTATGTTGAAAGATACTTAAATCCAAAATTGTCCAACAATTATAAAAACTATTCTTTTTTTTGGTAACCAGGGTGTTCAGACCAATTTATGTGCATCTCGAGTATTCCTCAAGAGGAGCTATCCTACATTAACCAACCATTGTGACTCTCCAGGTAAATCATAAGCAAAAGTACTACGACTTTATAAAAACTATTTGATATTCCATACAAATTACAATTGCCTAGAAAACCCTAAAAAATATCAAAACCTTTATAAACATTAAAAAACCCTAAAAACTAATCCTTCAAATCCCTTCAAAGAAGTATTAAATATATTAATCATATAAATAATTGAAAGAAAACAGTTAATACTTGCATAAATAAATTGATTTGTGATATTATAATCCCCATATCTTATGTAATTTTAGATTGTTTTGTTAAGCAATTAGTTTTATCACTAAATACAAGTAAAATTATATACAATTAAAATCATAAAAGAATATCTCATATTATAAATTAGAATATTAATACTCAAAATATACACTGGCATATACAAAGAGGTACAGTACTACAGTGTCTTCATGTGAAGTGCAGGCTTCTTTTTAAGTTCACATGTCCAAAATTGGTAATTAAGTGCTTCCCATATAATTGAGGAATCTATGGACAAGCACAACACTTCTATTTAAAAAATAAAAGAATATATAAAATAAATTCATTTTCATAGACAATATAATAAAATCAAGGGGGAATGACGCTTTGACCCTCAAACTATCGAGAGAAGGGTATTCTAGTCATTTGACACAGGTTTATATCATTTAACAAATAAATCTCTCCTTTAAACTAATCAAAATCAACCTTAGTTGATCGTCATTAAATAGTCGCAACTCAACACAGAAACCCTCGCAACACATCAGCAGATTAAAAAATAAAAAAATAAAAAAATCTGTTAATTTTAGGACACTAGCAATCGTACCTAACGAGTGAGATAGTGGTAAATCGGTAAGGGGTGGAGGTCGGGCTAAGGATGCGAAGGGGTGGGGTTTGGGTGGGCAACGCAGGTGTTAGTGGTCGGTCACAGTG